ATGTTGGATCATCATCATCATCCTTTGAAATTATATGGGTTATAGATACTGGCACTACACAGCACATGGCTAATTCTCTAAGTCTTTTCTACACATACTTATCTTCCCTTGACATTAGGTGGGTAGTTAGAGCTGATGGATCTTTAATGACCATAGTAGGTATAGAAAACATCAAATTCATATCATTACTCACACTCCTAAATGTCCTCCACATTCCAAAGCTTACCACAAACCTAATATTTATTAGTCAACTTACTAATGACTTATATTGTGATGTCTTTTTCTCACTCAATTTGTGTAAACTTTATTATAAGGTATTGGAAAAGATGATTGGACATGCTAGACAGTATGGCAAACTCTATATTTTTTAAGAACTAGGGCTCTCACATGCAGCGACCAAAGTGCACGTCTTCTCATCCATCAAATTTAGATCGAATTTAGTTATTTCTTTGATGACTTGACCATCCGTCCTTTACCACAATCTAGACTTTATTTTTCTCTTTGTTCCATGATCTTGATACATCAAAATTTTGTTGTAACATGTGTAAACTTGCAAAGCACAAATGAATGACATTTCCTCATAATGGTATGATAAGTACCACTCTATTCTTGCTTATTTATAGTGACATTTAGAGGCTATCTTCTACCACCAGTCCAATGTGAGTACTATTCTTCTAACCTTTTTCTCTATGATCAAGAGACAATTTGGTGTCAGCATTAAATGATTTAGGTCTGATAATGCTAAAGATTACTTTAATCTAATAATTACTTCTTATTTCAAAAAGAAGGAATAATTCATGAGTCTTCATGTGTTAATACCTCAGAACAAAATGGAATAGCTAAAAAGAAGAATGGTCATTTCTTAGCAGGTTCTAGAGCCATATTATTTCAAAATAATGTACCCAAATTGTTTTGAGTAGAAACAATCTTCACTGCCACTTATCTCATTAACCACTTACTGTCTAGGACCTTGAATCATGAAAGTCTATTAGATCTTCTTTTACCATTTCATCCCAATGTATAACTTAAAATAAAACTTCCACCAATAATTTTTGGGTGTTTAGGACAACCAAAAGAAAGGACAAATTAGATCCTAGAGTATTGAAGTGTCTTTATTGGTTATTTACAAACACAAAAGGGGTGTAGGCGCTACCATTTACCATTCACCCTCACAATGTATTTATACTTCTATAAATGTGACATTCAATAAACAAAAAATCATTTTTTTCTTTTTCTAAGTATCACTTATTATGAAGGAAGGAGATCCATTAATTCTCACATCTAGAGTGGATCATCCTAATCTTCCCACAACAATCTTAAACCTTCTTTCCACACTTGATCAAATATTATATGTTGAGCGGAATTCTCCTCATAGTGATCTTATATTTAAGGATAGAAGATTTGGCAAAATTTACAACCAAAAGAGAGCACCAAGCCTTAAGCCATGTTCATGAATCTAAACTAGATACATCTAGTCAAGAAAATCTTGAAACACATTGTACATCACCTATTCAATGTGTTGAAGGGAGTGATAATGATAAAGAAAATTTAATTATAACTATTAGGAAGGGCATTAGGGAATGTACATGCAGACCTTTGTATTTTCTTTCACATTACTTGTCCTATACACACTTGTCATATGATTATAAATCCTTACAAACATTACATATACTATCTCAAAGACCATATTCAAAGCACTAGGTATTGAAGAGTGGAGACAAGCTATAAATGAAGAGATGTGTGCACTAGAGAAGAAGAACATTTGGGAGTTGATGTATTAATAAAAGAAAAAAAAATCAGTTAGGTGTAAGTGGATGTATACCGTAAAGTATCAAGCCAACAACACAATTGAATGGTACAAGGCCCAACTAGTTGCCAAAGGTTTTACTCAAACATATGGGGTTGACTACCTAGAAACATTTGTACTTGTGACCAAGTTAAATACAGTCTGTATCTTGCTATCTTTGACAGCATATTTTTCTTAAAATATAGAATACTTTGATGTTAAAAATACATTTCTACATAAAGATCTTGAAGAAGAAATATATATGGAACTTCTACTTGAGTATGAAGGCAACTCAATGCCTAACACTGTATGTAGGTTAAAGAAAATATTCTACTGACTAAAATAGTCCCCATGCATCTCGTTCGAGAGATTTACTAAGGTGATTTAGACAATAGACTATCAACAAAGTCAAAGAGATCAGTATGTTGATGATATTATTGTCATAGGAAGAGATGAAATTGAGAAGAACCCATTAAGTCAACACAACTCAAGAGTTCAAGATCAAGACATTATGAAGGTTAAAATACTTTCTTGGAATAGAAGTTGTTATTTATCTCTCAACACAAATACATCATTTATCTATTTCAGGAGGCTAGTATGACTACTTGCAAACTAGCAAATACTTTGATAAATCAAGATTTCAAGTTGGGAGAAGCTAGAGATAAACTAGCTACCAACAAAGAAAGATATCAAAGATTGGTTGAGAGACTAATCTAGATGTCACATACACGCCCAAATATAGCATATGTTATGGGAGCATTAAGTTAATTCATGCACAATTCAAGAGAAATATATTTATAATTTTCTCATAAGGTGTTGTAATATCTCAAGGGATTACTAGGTAAATGGATCCTATTCAAAAGAGTATAATAGAAATTAAATTATACATAAATGTAGACTATGCTAGATCAATAGTGGACAGAACATCAGTCACAAGGAACTATATATTTTTTTCTAGCAACTTGATTACTTGGAAAAGTAAAAAGTAAAATGTTGTGGTGAGGTCGTGTAAAATCAGAATTTAGAGCCATTTCTCAAGGGATTTATGAAATATTGTGGGTACAAATCATTCTTAAAGACTTGAAAATCAAATGGATTCACCTAATCAAACTATATTGTGACAACAAGTTAGCAATTAATATTACATATAATCTGGTCCAACATTATAAGACCATGATCATCGCTTTATCAAGGAAAAATTGAACAATGGCTTAATCTACACATAATATATATCATCTAACAATTAGATTGTTAACTTCTTCACTAAAGGGCTGAATTCAAAACTATTTCAATATTTTCTTTGCAAGCTGTGGGATGAATGATGTCCATATATCAACTTGAGGGGGAGTATTAAACAATTAGTTATGTTTACACATCTTATTCTTATTTTTATGTCCTTTTTTTAATTTATACCCTCTTTTTTTATGATGTACCCCTCTATTTGAACTAAGTTGAACCTAGGAGGGTCTAGTTCAATATACTATTTCAGGACTAGTCTATATAAACCAATCCCATCCCTTATTTTGAATATGACGAAGCATTCTACTTTTCTAGGGTTTCTTCTTTTTCCTTCGTTCATTCCTTTTTTGTGTTGACTGTAAAGGTCAAGAGTTGAAGGAGAAGCTTGACGATTACCCTCAATCAGAATGCGCAAAAGAAAGGAAATGAAAATTTAAATGAACATGATTCAATATATTAAAAAATGACCTGGAGAAAATTAGAAGTAAAAATTACAAGAAGTACAACCTATTCACATGTAAGTTGGATTTGAATTAATCAAATCAAATCAAAATTTTGAAAGCTGACTACTAGCTAGTCTCTAACACAAGGTTAAGTTTTTCTACAATGTACAGTAGTTGTGTTAAAAAATTATTTGATATTGACATAATTGGCATTTGTTGATTGGTGCAAGTCTTGGAACATCTAATCATACTAAGTAATTTTTGTCAATAAGGCAAATATATTTCAACAAGTACACTCAAAATGTAAGTTCCTATAGCCTACTATTATGAAAATAATAATTTTCAGCTCCAATATAATTTGCATCCCCATACACAATGGGTGTAATACATAAAAGATAAAAACCAGTTAACAGATAATAAAAGATATCATTGAGTCATTCACTTTGAAATCAAAGACTTTTTGATGATGGATAGTTTATGAAATACTTCCACACAACTTGATATTGATTGTGCTAAGTAGTTGGTAATAGTCATATGGTTATGCTAATTAATGGGCAAGGACATTAGACATTGTCCACTCAAGGTTAATGCGTCAAGCAATGACATAATTTAGAAAAAGTCTAGTACTTTGCAGTCATTTAATATTATTTTTAATGGGCAAAAGGACAGAAAATATTCTCTTGTTGTCTTAAACTTTATGAAATAATTTTAATATTTCTAAATCTTTATTATTGAGTTTGGCCAATATGAATGTGCCAAATTTTGGAGCATGTTAGTAGTTAAAATTTTTATAAACTTGTGCGGTCCAATCATGCTGGGAACGGGACAGGTCCACTTGATATTCTCACACGCGATCTGACGTTGGAAGTGCTAAAAGCGAGGCATCACTAGCTATCCTTTCTGCTGTGTTAGAGAGGAGTGGGGGCAACACCAAACCAAGCCAGTGTAAGAATATCACTTTGTGTCGGTGCACCGCCACCACCACTTTGACCTCAAAACATTCATCCATTTGTCTTTACGTCGGCCTGCTGATAATTATAACAGAAAAATATATTTTATATTATTTTTATATATTTTAAGAAGTAACGTAAAATATTAACGGAATTAGTTGACTCGATTACACGCAAAGGTGGGGTCAATGCCCTTCCATTGACTTCCTAAAACACTAGTTATTATTGCATTGAAAATATTTTAATTATTTAACGAGAGAGAGAGAGAGAGAGAAACCGGGGCCACAGACGCATCTCCCTGGAAGGTGCTCGTATTAATACTGATGCCAAGTGGGCATATTTGACCTTTTTGACTTTTTTGTCATCTCTTCATTTATTACCACGTACCCAGTGGAGGGTAGTTTTGTCCATTAAAAATCAAAGGCCGAGAATGGGGGTGTCGTGGCGGTGAGTGATGGGGCGGTTAGAGAGAGGGAGGAGGTAGAGTGGAAATCCTCTCGTTCTGTATAAACGCGTTTGTAGTGCAAAGGGATTCTTGACTCTTCCTCTTCTTCCCGTCGTCGTCTTCGAAGTCGAGGAGAGATGTATGGGTTTTCGAGCGTGGAGAAGGGGGACTACGACCTCGAGTCCGGGGGACTGTATCCGGGGATCTCCCACGGTGAGAACCAGCTGAGATGGGGCTTCGTGCGCAAGGTCTACGGCATCCTTGCTGCTCAGATCGTCCTCACCACCGCTGTGTCTGCTGTCACCGTGCTCTATGCACCTGTCAATAACCTTCTCCAGGGCAGCCCGGGGCTTCTCCTCGCCTTCGCGATCCTTCCCTTTATTTGTAAGGATTAATGGATTGGCACTTCCAGATATTCTTTGCGTCTTCCGATCAAATTGAATCTAGCTTAACATATTCAACAGAATCGTTCTCTAAAGCCTTTGATTCATTTTCTTTGTGTTTTTACTTTAATTTTTTTTCTCCTGTCTATGGTCCTGTATGATATGTGAGAAGGCATTAGTTTCTGAAGAAACCTTCGTTGTTTCGAACGCGTAGATCTGGCTTCTATCTAAGTGCTATCTGCGACGCCTTGAAGCTCGATGTTTTCCGTTTCTTTTGTGGGGTTGTCATCAGAATCATCTTTTTCACGAGAGAATGATATTTGTTCGTGAGGGGGTTTCACCACGCTCTCAGCGCCCTTGAGTGATTCTGCTGGTGTTGGGGAATGTTCATTTCAGCTTAGTTCATTTACCTCTTCCGCAATTCGGCCATGCTTTCAATTTTGGCTTCACTTGCTCACTTTTTTTATATCGAAATCAAATGGTTGTATAGAACTATTCTTCCATATAAACATTTTTTCATATTGGGAGCTGGGATGCGCTGGCATGTTAATCATGCCAATCATATAATTATATTTTTAGCCATATCAAGAGTACATCATAGGTTACCTCGTGTGGCTTTCTGGGATATTTTTTTCCTTGAAGAGTTTTGTTGTGGTGTTGTTTTTTCGAACATTTCCATTTCCTTTGTATTCCATGGTTATTTCTATGTGAAGGAAGTGCCCACTACTGAGTGCGGTGTTTTCGGGCTCCTTCAGCCCATGGTCGATCATTTGAAGAGATGGTATTTCTTTTTGCACAAAAGCATTTTCATCCTGCTGGATGAGCATGTGGATTTTAGCCAACGATGTTTAGATGGAATAGTTAAAAGTCAGCATATAAATAAAATGATTTCAATGTGTCTGACATGATTGGTTGGTCCTGATGATCTTGGTCCTCTACCACGTCGAACATGACATCATTGAAATTTGCTTTTACAATCTCTGTATACTCTTCTCTTTCTGATTATGCATTGAACCTCACAGATAATTCTCTAGTAGGGTTGCATCTATCATCAAGTCATGATTCATCCAAATATATGTGGTAGTCATTATATTTATAGGTATACATGAATATAACTGGACCAAGTCTCTCATCTTCCAATTTGGCTTGCAAGCCAATTATTGCAAAGAAAATGATGAAGATCGTACATTGATTTCATCTGTTTTTGGTGAAAGTTCATTTCCTTCGGTGAATAATTAGAGTGGGAGCTGAGGATTCTGCAATGGAACTTATTCCTCGCAGCATCTAGGAACCTACAGATTTGTCCCCTGCTATTCTGTCTTTTTACCGTCAATGTATCCTTGCAATCTTCTTCCTTTTTCCTCATCCCTTGTCCTCTTCCCTTACCAATGCTAGCATATTGTTTACCTGTTCTTTTCTTCATTTCTGCAATTCCCCTGCAGAAGAAGAGGTAAGCTACTAGCTAGATTAGAGTTGAGACAATTGTGTTGTCATTGTTGTCATTGACATTACAGTTCCTTGCAACACCACCGTTCAGTTTTTTGCTCCCCTCTTCTATATCCTTATCTTCCTCTTTTCCTCTCTCTCTCTCTCTCTCTCTTGCTATATAGATATATATATATATATATATATGTATCTTGGTCTCCCTCTCCTCCACCACATTACAAATATATCTTGGTGTCCCTCTCCTCCACCACATTACAAATATATCATGCTCTCCCTCTCCTCCACCACATTACAAATATATCTTGCTCTCCCTCTCCTCCACCACATTACAAATCTTTGACGTTCCACTCTCTGCATCTTTCAAAATCTTCCTTCTCAGTCTCATATATCATATTATCTATTTCTACCCTAACTAACTGAGCGACCTATGGCCGAGGACCTGAACATAATCTGAAAAGAGCCCTGATTATGACATCCTTCCAATTGATTCATAACCCATTTTGCAACCCCGGCCTTTGTAGAGCATGACTCTACATAGTCCTATCATTTGTAAATACTCTATAGTAAAGTTCAGTGAATGCAATGCCATTACGTATGCATATATTTACAGATATTCCATTCAATGGTACGAACGCCTCATGCTCAATCCATGCACTGTCACCAATTTTCGTACGGGGAACTTATTATCCTACATTTTCCTATGAAATAATCCTTTTTCCTGAATTGATTTTATTATCAGAGCTTACACACCCTGGGATCCTAGTGTCCTTTCTGATTTAACTGGTATCCACGAGTTGCTTCTTGTCTACATTAGTTTAATGTAGACAAGAAGCAACTATTGCTGATTTAACTGGGATCCTAGTGTTCTTTTTTTAACTATTAACCTAGGTACATTAGTTTAATGATTTTCATTGGACAAACTAATTTCTCATTTTTCCTGCATCCTAGGCGTCATTGCTATTTGACCTTTTTTCTGCCGAATTTCTGGAATTATCTGAAATGCATTATAGTCTTCTAGGTTAATAGTTAAAAACAAATAATGGATTATTTCAAGATTTTTGTTCATGTGATTGCTTATAAATAGCATCACACGTTCTTTAAATACTTTTTTTAGGGTTTTTTATATATTCGGACCCTTTCTTACCAATTTTTTTATGGCGTTTTTTTTGCAGTGTTGTGCCCCTTGTATCATTATCAACAAAGCCATCCTATGAATTTTGTCTTTCTTGGTCTTTTCACACTATGCCTTAGTGTAACAATTGGAGTTGCTTGTGCAAATACCCAAGGTATACGTAAAGCCTTAGTATACTCTACTATGCATCACATGTTTATGCTACCTGGTTAGTCCATTGTCATGGTTTCTTTTACTTGCCACCCAACATATTTCAAACTTTATTCTGGGATTCTGCAGGAAAAATTGTGCTTCAAGCTTTGGTCATAACCTCCGTTGTCGTTTCATCCTTGACTGGATACACTTTCTGGGCAGCAAAGAAGGGAAAAGACTTTAGCTTCCTTGGACCCATACTATTCTCTGCTCTTATTGTGCTTGTTCTCACAGGTTTTATCCAGGTAAAATTAATGGGTCATTAATTTCCTTCCTCTATCCTTCATCATCTATGTGCTTTTATTTATAAGTCGTTTGAAGGATGCTGCTATTTTGAGTTGGTTCTTGACTTTGCTTCTACATGTTGTTTGAATGAATTTTATAGAATATCTATAAAGCTTCCTTGCTCTTGGGATTTAGATTCCCTAGGTGATTTGGGCATGATATAATACAGTAATAAATGGGTGCATGCCAACTGAAACCTTTAAACCATAATTCTTATGATGTTCACTCTTTTCCAGTTAAAATAATATTGGAAAGACTTGTGTAATGTCCAACACTTCACGTTATCATAAGCGGGGATGTGCAACAAGACATTGTTTTATAAAAGTGGATTCGATTAAATAACAACATAAGCTGCTGTCAGCTCGAGTTCTCTTAAACGTGGAAATAGCGTAAACAGGCAGAGATTCTTGGAAAAATGGTGGGGACTAAGTATCTTTTTTCTTCGATAAGAAACTTAGTAAAGGGTACGATTTTAGCCCAGTTTTTCCTTATGTCAGTGTCTTTTTGGTGTAGGTGAAGTTTTTCACGGATTATCTTTCGGTCTGACTATTTTTCCGTATAAATATCATGGAATAGAGGTGAAATATAATAATTAGATAACTAAGTGACTTACCGTATTCCATCAAAGGCACCTTATCCGCCGTGATTACAATATTTATGCTACTGCAAGTCTGAAATTCCTTCATCCTTTATGACCTGTAAGGAAAGGACCCCCTGGCGGATTTTTGGAGTCTTCATGGCACTGCTATCTTTCGATTTGATTTGACTTGATTTTTTTTATGTAAGTATCATAGGAAGGAGGTAAAAAATAACAACTAAATAATTGAGTAAACTGTGGTTGCCATATTTCCGCTATTAAATTCCTCCATCCTTCATGACCGTCGTAATAAGTGGATGCCATGTGATACATGCCAATGAATGAAGAATACCTGGAGGGTTAATTATATAATAGGACGGTCATTTATCATAGAACAACAATGCCTTTGAATTTCTCAATCAACATCTTGGGTGGGGGGGGGGGGGGGGGGCATTTGGATCCATTTTGCTTGCTGGAAGACATTGCCATCAGCAGAGTAATAGCAGACCATGGAAGCCTCTCCACAAGGTTGATGTTTGGCTGCGAGTAAGTTTAACAGAAAGTGGTGTAAGAAACAAGATTCTAGTCAAACTATTCATCTGCAGGAGTTATCCGGTGTCCCGTCCATGCTCATGATCTATGGGATTATTGCTTTGTGTCCTTCAAGAGAATCTTATGTGAAGGCAGAGCTTATGGTCTTCTCATTTTGAACTAGGAATTAGAATGTTTGATACATTGCTCTGACAACAAGCTTCTTCTCACTGTCTTTTTGTGTAGATCTTCTTTCCAATTGGGTCGACAGCGACAGCAGTTGTTGGGGGCCTAGGGGCGCTCATTTTCTCAGCATACGTTGTGTATGACACAGACAACTTGATCAAGAGGTTCACCTATGACGAGTATATCTGGGCATCCGCCATCCTCTACTTGGATATCCTCAATCTCTTCCTCTATATTCTGAACTTGCTGCGGGGCCTGCAGTCCGACGGGTAGAAGTGAGTTGATCCAAACTTTCACTGATCGTAAAGAAGTGACAACACTCTCTGTGCTTGCAGTTTCAATGTCATACATCTATACTTTTTATTGTCAGTGACAACATTGACCATTCTGTGGAGATACTTTCTATTTCTAAAACATTCCATGCTGTGGAGGGGGAATCGGATATATCTGCATAAATACTTTCCTCCAAATTAGTTATTGGGGGAGTACGGAACTCATGCTACAAGGGCTGTTTTTTTTTGGCTGCAGCAAAAGCTGTGGAAGAATAGAAAATCTTGCCTTGGATGGATCTATGGATCTATGCATCACTAAAGTTCTGAATCGTTAGAGTTTACAAATATCAAAATTAATTCTCTTGAATTTGCATGGTTGTTGCCCGTTGACGTAGCGGATGTTGTGTGGTACAAAAGGATTTGAGCCTTGAATCTGCTAGACACTAAATCCTTTGACTCCTTGAGCCCACAAGGATAAAAAGAATGATCTTGAGAATTCACAAGGGTTGTTCTTCTCTTGATCCATCAGATGTTGTGTGGCATTTGAGCCTTGAATTTATGAGGCACAAATTCTGAACTTAGAAGCCGAGTCTCAGATCTTAAGGACTTATAATCTTCAATCCTTGAATTCACAAGATTAATTAGGGTGACCCTTTAATCCATAAAAGATTAAATAGTTCGCCTGAATCCACGTGTAAAGAAAGAGAGATCTCAGATATTACATTGTGAGGGCTTTTAAATAGGTCAAAAATCAGTGGGGATGCTCTTAAGAAGATGGATCAGTTATAGAGCTTCAAAAAGGATTCAAAGCAATGTAAATAAAATTCAAAAATACATAAAAAGCATAAAATTTAACAGCACTAATCTCTAACACATTTCTCATATATTTTATTATGAGCCTAATTTGATTTTGAGTCATCTCATCTTTGCAGCCCCCTTTCTGCAATCTTCTAGAACGCTTTGGCTATCAATTTTTGGCCACTTGAGTTGGAATTTTTGGCCCTTGTCTTTCTTGGAAGTGTTGTCCTACGTCATCTTTTCTCCTGGTTACTTAGACTATGTGCATTTACATTCGTTATCTCTATGCTTGTTTTTGCAAAATTGGTAAGTTATCAGATAGAGATGGCCAATTCTCTCAAAATATATCATAAAACCATTATTCTCACTCTCATCTTCCTATATTAATCTTCTTCTCCAACTTTTTACTTTTAAATGAATATTTGAGGCTAAATATGATAGCGAGCTACTAGTTTTGATATTATTGATTGACTATTTCTGACATGAAATAGCATCTTGCTCTGCCTTGATTTAGAAAAAAGATTGAATTCTCCCAAAATCCTAGCTACCATGGGAGTAACATTTCATGATTTGGTACATCTTTGGGATATGTTTTATGGGAAGGTATACATATAGTTGATCATTGTTGGAAGGGTTTCATATTTTTCTTTCATGAATAAAGTATGTGAATATTTTTTCATTTTTGTACTATATTTGTATATTTCAGTGTGTTTTAAAATTGTGTTACGTTGGATCTAAGACATGAAGTGCCAAATGATGTACTTGGTGACCATCAAAAATTTGAGGTAGACTATTGTTCCAGTAGGATTTTCCTATCCATGCATTTATACTACTAAACATTTCGTTATTATTTTCTTTTTTCCATTGGTTTTTGTCCCTATTTCTTGTTCTCCCTAGAACCATATTCATTTAGACTAATCTTCTTACATTGTAAGGCATGGTACATTGAAGCTACACTTTGTTGGCATATAGTAACTAAATTAATTATCTTTCTTCCCATGATTAAATCTTGAATATTCTTTCTAAAAGGCTTAGTGATTTAGAGGTGTAGTGTTATTTTGGCCATATAGTGGGAATCTACTCTTGATTAGACTCCTTTTTAGGATAGAGAAATTTTGAATTTTTTTAGTGGTTTATAACTCCTATGTACTACTCTCTTGGGTAAGTTCCACAAACCCTAGCTTGTTTCTTACTCTAGATTAATGGATCTTAGAAATCAGCATATTACTCTTTTATTGCTAGCTTTCACTTTTTTGACTCACAATAGGTTTAAAATTATTTGACTTTCTATTATTATGAGCCTTCTACATACATAAGAATCAAAAGACATTTTTAAAACTTTGATCAAAGCTTCCTTGAAGGTAAAAGTTTTGAGTAGTTGGTGTAATAGTTCATCTACAGCACATGCTGGCATAAAAAAATGTAAGTCCTATCTTGGTCGTTTATAAATAAGTGCTGGTACTAATGTGCTCTAAGGCATCATTTTCTCGATTTTAAGAGTTTGAAACAACTAAGAAATGGCCATCTGTGAATGAGTAGTCACAAATGTTTGATAACTACTCTATAGCTATGGTATTATTTTTCTCCATCTCCTATTACCTCATAACAGTGATCTTACTGTATAATGGAATTTCCTCATAGATGATGAACAAACTCATCTTGTTGAAAAACAAAATAGGTCAATTTTTTTGGATCCTAAATGCTAAAATTGTTGATGAGAGCTAAATGCATTCATAATAACATGGAATTTGCTAAATATGTCACATCAATTAAGGGAATGAATTATAAATGATTGCTCTTTCAAGGGGAGACATTTAATATTGATATTCGCTTTAAATTGCAACAACCTACAACCAATGTAAACACATGAGAAATGCTACATGAAGGTAATGGATTACAACATAGTTGAATACAAATGCATTATGTAGGATTGTTATGCAAATTTGGATTTGTCAAAGTATAAAGTGATATAGAAAGATTAGTAGAATAAGTTTGTTAGTGATAGATAAAATGTGTGGGAGAATTTATACAAAACAATGTGATGACTTTGAGACCAAAAAAACTTAAGGAATTGAAAGCATCAAGAAAAAATGAATAATTAATATGGAAGCATGAAGAAATAATTAATACATAAACTTTTTGAGGTCTTGGAAATATCCAAGTTCAATTATTTGCAATAACTCTATTTTTAATTTTTTAATAAATTTCATTTCATAATCATTCTCATTTTTACAGATCCTCTTCTTATATTTTATTTTAGTATTGGAAGGTTTCACCTTTGTGGGCAAGAAACCTAAGCCAAGTATACATAGAGTACCTATTAACTATGACAAAATTGAACCACTATACAAATTTAATTTTTATCATAGATACTATTTGATTCACTCAAACTAGATTGTCCACATAGTTTACATATAGCCTTATAGAAAACTTTCAAGTGGTAAGCCACAAATCAACTTTAAAACATAATTCATGACTTAGTGGCTTCATAAGAATCACATGCAAACATATCAATAAAGAAAAGAGCTAAAGAGCTTAGAGGATAAAATAGTTTGAAAAATCAAATGATTCATTGTTTAAAATAATGATTAATTAATGAGACAAATAGTTTAGATAATATTAATGAAACTGACTATAATAACTTGAATAATTATTTTTTTTAGAGAACTTTCTAACCTATAATGTATTGTAAATGCTCTCTTTTTTCTTAAGCTAAATTTCAATTTTCAATGATTGTTATGAGTTTAAATATGATAAAAATCCATTGGACATAAAAGATCAAAATTTAATTCCCTTGTACCATCTCTTAAATGCATCACTATTGACATTTCAATATTTTTTACTTTTAAATTTTTTAAAAAAAATATTGCTTTATAATTATGATTTTTGTTTAGCCTTAAACCCTAAATTCTCAATGCTACACATAATCATAGAGAATCAAAATGAATCAAGAGAGGACACAATCACATGCTGAAACGAAAGATAAAAAGTAATTTCCTCATATATTAAGTTTGAGTTTCTGAACCCATGTTGTAACTTTACTATCTTAGGTGCAAGTAAGCTTATGCAAGGTAGTAATCAAATATTTCCAATGGAAACCTAGCCATACCAATAACAAGCTTTCTTTTTCATCTTAAAGAACAAAGAGAATTGAATAAACAACACAACATAGTATTAACGTATGAATAAATATAACCTATACATAACAAGGTAAGTCAATCTTGAGTAGAACAGAACTTGCAGAAGATGCACGACCTTTGATGATGCAATGGAGAGTTAGACTGAAAGAAATTTAGAGTTTTATGATGTGCTTGAGTTCTGATGTTCTTTTTTGAAGTTTTCTTACCACAATGGATTATTTATGGACTTAAAAGTAAGGCTTTTTTTGGAGACTCGGCAAAGTCCAAAGTAGCTAAAAATGTAGCTATTAATCTTTTATAATTCATGTTAAAAAGTGTATTCCTATTTACTTCCTAGGATAAATACGTGTGTGCCAATGACATCCTATTTGGTCAGATAATGATGAAGGTATGATAAATCAAAATATAAAAGTGGGTATCGTTATGAAAAAGTCTGAAATTATAGAAAGTTAAACTTCTTGTGGTTATGAGAGTAATGGGGAATTTACCCCAAAGTTTTAAAATGATAGTAAAAGTCCCCAGGTAATCCACCTTCAGGTTCCAATGTTCACAGTCTTGTCTATCATGAGCAAAGTGTCGTAATAAATATCTTTCGTTTTAAAATATACATCGCAACATAAAATAGCCCCATCGCATGCCTCCTCAAGTCCACGAAAAGCTCCAGTTTTTTCTTCTTCTTTCTGTCGGTAAAATTTAAGGGAGATGCTTAACGGCTTAGACAGTATGTTCTTTTGTTATCCATCCTCTTCTACCTCAGTTGCGCTTTATCTTTCATCTCTCTTCTCTCTCTCTCTCTCTCTCTCTCTCTCTCTCTCTCTCTCTCTCTCTCCTCTCTCTCCTCTCTCCTCTCTCCTCTCTCTCTCTCTCCACCCCCCCCCCCCTTCATGTATTGAACGGGAAGACAACTTATCGACATATTCTCTGCGAGAATAGTTGTCGAGATTCCTCTAGGGTTCAATGGGGAAATGAAATTTTTATCGTCTCGATTCCTCATTTACACTGGATCTTCTGTGGGTAATTACCAGAAGGAGAGCGCATAGAATTATTTTTTATTATTGTTGCA